ATTAACCACGTTATAGACTATTAGCCTAGTTAGAGTATAATAATAATAATAATATTAAAGTAAATAAGTAATAATCTAGAAATAAACTCTTAAGCTAATATTTAAAATATCTTTTAATAAAAATATATAATAAAGTATTTTACTTATAATTTTTCTTAGTTTTTTCATTATTAAAATTAACTTATTATTCTTTTATATTCTAGTTACCTTATATATTAGATATATAAGCTTTATCTTTATAATTAGTAAACTTAATAAGCTATATACTATAATATAAGTCGTGGCTATATAACCACCGGTTCCGTCGGGATGCTAGATGGGACGTAACATCTACTTGAGGTTGGCCACCTGATATGCTCTTCCTCTTAGTATTAGCATTCGGCTACCTGAATAGCAGGGCTGATGGCGATTATCTGGTAGTGTAGTCGCAGACGTTCCCTTTCCAATAGTTCGATTGCGACCGAGCGTTTATCATAGCTGTTGCCCTGCCTTGGATGAATGGCTTTCACAATATTCACTGATTGACGTGAACCGATTGATAGAAACTACAAGGCTGCTTGGCCAGTCAGCGCCCAACTGTCGCCAGCGTCGCCACCATCCGCCCTGGTGGCCCTACCTTCCTGCTCTAGTTTTGATAATATCTGTAATACACCAGCACAAGCCGCTGGATGTAAATCCTCATTTACCTCTTTGTAAACCACCTTGACAATGTCCGGTCCAGTCCAATGCCGATTACCATCTGCCTTAGCGCACCTCATGACCTGAACTACCTGCTCCTCTCTTTGTTTGCGATGATTGATGTACTCGAGAATCTTCTTCGGACCGTCGTTGATGAAACCACCGTGTCCAGGGTATGCTCTACCATGAAACAGCGTCTTCATCTTGTGCAGACTGCTGATATACGTCGTCATGTCTTCGAATACAGCTGTACCTTCTCCGAGCACATTATCCGCTGTGAACATTGCGTCTTCTTCCGCCAACGTAAAAACTAGGTGGTCGGTCGTATGTCCAGGTGTATGGTGCGCTGTCAGAGTAACACCGTCAGTCCGAAAAATTTGGCCATTTTCAATCTTCAATTGTCCCTCGCCTGGGTCGAACTTGTATACGACGGCCTGGGGAGAAATTTTGCGCAAATCCTCTATGCCACCGACGTGATCATGATGCCAGTGTGAGAGCAATAGAGTATCAACTGTTGCGCCCTCCGCTCGGAGAACTTCCCTCAGTGATGCCGCCCAAATCGACATTCCCTCCCCGGAGTCTATCAATATGCGGTGCTTTCCAGAGCCAAGCAAATAAGTATTCGTACCCTGCAGCGTGAACCTGCCAGGATTACCACCGAGAATTCGAATACACACCGGACTGAGCCTCTTTACATCCGATAGCGGTGCCATGGCTAGAGCCTGTAATGAACGCCAAGAGAAGGGTCCTGATGTTGTCGCCGTTCTCAATCGTGATAGACAATTCTCAATGACAAGATGAAGGGCGCGATTTTTCCAAGGTGTTGCTCTTCGACAGAATTGCACCATCCCGAGGAATTAATGCGGAGGTTGACGAATAAGAGACCCTTGAACATAAGATCAAGACCTCGGTTATTATTTGAGCCGTAGTTGTAGGAGCGTGAGTGGGTCACATCAATCAGTTACTAGGTATGATGCGTTTATTTTATATCTCTATTAAGTACCTCTTCTTAACACATAGACTTTTTTAAGATTAGTATCTTTATATAATAATCTATATATAATTAAACTATTTCTTAAGAATCTCTTATAGCCCCTATATATATTAACTATTAATAATAGTTATAATATC